TCATAACTATTGCAATGATTTCAACCATTGATTCAAACATAAAAATTTTGGTTTACATTCATTTTACTGGTACAGCAATAATTAAAGCTAATATTACAGTTAAGCCTCTTATGGACTTTCTTAACTTAATTGTTGAAATATTATTTGACCCAAAGATTTATTACAAATTTTATATTTCTTAATATAAAGATTTCATTATAAAATAACGTAATAATTATTTTCCGGAAACGAATTCCGAATATTAATTGATTACTGTATGAATGCTCTTTAGGGCGTCGTTTGGGGAACTGTTTGGACAATTAGTGACACAGAATTGGAAATTATGGACAAACAAGAGGTCGGATATAAGAGGATTGAAATCAATGTATTGGTCGGCGAAGAAGTGGTCAAATGTGATGTTTATGTACAGAAGGGGACACACGATGACGGGTTTGAGTTCACTACCGACGAAACCACTCCAAGTCTGGCCTACAAGACAGTGATCCTGAAGGGAGCCATTGAACAGGGATTACCTGAAGATTATATACAATTCCTGAAATCATTTAAAGACAACGGAAACATAAACGCCGGTCCAAAAGATCTCAACTTAACACCAATTCCGTGAATTTAGACAATCATTAAATCTATTGTTTATCATATTTTGTTAGGTTTTTAAATATTTTGACTTTAAATTTGTTATCCATAATAGTTACTGAAAAGTTAATCGAATAAAAATATATATTTTTATTGAAATTATTTTTATTAATAACTAATGTTTTAAAATTTAAATACTTGACATTGTATGTCTCAAATAGTTTTAATTCAGTTATTTAACCATACTTTATTTATTATAGTTGCTCAATACGAACCTTTCGAAAGGACTTAGTTAAAGGACTTTCTTGCTTAATGTTGATTGGCCATTGTGTCATTTCACACTTTTTGATTGACTTTAACATTGGCGCATAATATGAATTTAAAAAGGTTCGTATTTAGTAATTATAGTCCTATTATTCTGAATACAAATTATATGGACAATAAGTTTTATTTATAATTTATGAATTATAAAGAATGTGCAAAAATTGCTTGGTGCAACTTTTAAGACTCCATACTTGACATAATACCAGGTATTCCATCCATTGAAGTTTCCACGTTTTGAGTTTTATATTTTTAATTAAGATAATTTCTGTCACATTTCGATTTTAACCATAGTAAATTATTATATTTATAATAGTTTGTGTTTAACAATAGTTCGTACGATATTTTATGGCATAATGTGTATCAAGTTATTATACATTTTAAAGCTAATTTAATTTAAATTATATAATTTATAATTAAAACTCAACAATAATTTAACAGAAGAATATGATAATTTAAAAAAAAAGTAAAAAATAAAATAAAAAAGTCTACGACACCGGGTATTCCCAGGTGGTCTCCCTCCCAAGTACTAACCCGGCTCGACGCTGCTTAACTTCGGTGATCGAACGAGAACCGGTGCTTTCAGCGTGATATGGCCGTAGACATTAAACATACATGCTTATTCTACTTTTATAATGTTCTCGTCAATTTAATTTAAATATTTTCAAACTATCATGAGTTAAACTCAATCATACAATTCGCAATTAAACAATAACAATTTTTGTAACAAACCTTTTCATATGTAATATATGTGCCATAAATTATGTCATCAGATGCCATGTGATTGTTACGCAATCATTAACTGTTTACTTGTGAAACGTGTCAAATACCAGAATATTCTGTACACTATTTTCACAAATAACAACAAAAAAATTATTTTATTTTATTTTTATTAATTTTATTTTTATTTTATGCGATAGACAGATAGAAATGTCCACAAATGGTAAACTGTTTTATTTCTGTTTTGGATCTAATCTGTGGTCAAAGCGGATGCATATCAACGTCAAGAGTGCCGTTAAATATGGCAATGGATTGTTGAAGGATTGGACGCTTACTTTCAGTGGCTATTTCCCCCTCTGGTTGGGGGCCAACGCTAATATCGTACCCAAAACTAATGTAGTCAATAGTTTATAAGTGATTAATTCTTTAAATATTAAATATTTGATAGATTTGATACTAATTTGATTACAGATTATTTAATTAATTATTAGTTATCACTAATTTTAAATGTAGTGAACAATTATTAATTTGATTATTGGATAAATACTCTTTAGGACGTCGTTTGGGGAACTGTTTGGACAATTAGTGACACAGAATTGGAAGGTCTGGACAAACAAGAGGTCGCATATAATAGGATTGAAATCAATGTATTGGTTGGCGAAGAAGTGGTCAAATGTATTACTTATGTCCAGAAGGAGACATCCAATGAACGATTTGAGTCTAACATTGATTCAACAATTCCGAGTCTGGCCTACAAGACAGTGATCCTGAAGGGAGCCATTGAACAGGGATTACCTGAAGATTACATACAATTCCTGAAGTCATTCAAAGACAATGGAAACATAAACTGCGGCCCAAAAGAACTCGAGTTAACATGAATTCAAGCATTGAATAAATGGTTTATTTTTATGCAAAGTTTTTAAAATATATTTTATTCACTTCTTAACTAATTATTAAATGTTTTATTTTTATTAAAATTATTTGTAATTACTTAATATTGAATTAACTTTAATATTTATTTTAAACTCAAATCTCAATACACGCAAAATACTAAAAATTAGACGCAAACTTATATACAATTCAAGAAAATGTGAGAAATACTCTACACAAAAATAGTTCGGGGTTTATAAACTAACAAATGAGCAAGTTAAAAAAATATTACGTCATGTTTCAAAATAGTTTTTAAAAAATAATAACAATTGTTTACAAATTGGTGACTATATTTTGACTATTTATTTGATTTAATGAGTTTCTTAGAGGGGGTACTACAAAGGTAACACCTCATTTTAATCTACCCTCACATAACATCCCATGGGGTATAAAGAGGAAAAATCCGGTCATATTAAACCTCACTCATTTTTCAATACATTTAAAAGTTAGACACAAAATATACTTTGAACGATTTATTTGTAAACTTTAAAAATGTTAATTACATTAAAATATTAAATAATTAAATTGACATGTATGTGAGTTATATTAAAATCCTATTTTGCTAATTATATTATAAACTAAAATAATATTTAACTAAAGCTCTAGTAATAATAAATTATAATCACAACTGCGTTAAACATAATGACATTTAAACGCCAATAATTCAAATACTTTGAGTGAGTCTTTCCTCTGGAGTCAACTTCTTGTTGTTTTGAAATTCAATTTTTTCCAAAGTTTTCAGCAATTCTTTGCGCTTATATTTAATAATGTCATAACATTTACACTGCAATTCTTGGCTACCATTGCGGCCCTTCGACGGCGTTTTGCGGACAAAACTATACCCTTTGTGTTGAACCGCGTAATTACCGTTACAATCGGTGCTACGATTCCCATAGCGATGGCATCGATGGATGTCTTCAACGAGTCCTTTACTTATAAGAATAGCCGCCAAATCGTTGTCGCCGTCGATGTCTATCCGTCCGTAACGACCGGTTCTGTCTTTGTATTCAATTGTTGCCAAAACCGTAAAGTTATTCGTTTCCAACTGACGATAGATCTCATTCATAGCATCCACGCTATGGACCTCTTTCTTGTGGTCAATGTCTGTGAGATAATAGTTGAACGCCTGAAAGGGTACGTAAGAGGGATACATATGATGCACGAGTTCCCGCATTTGTGACTTATGGCACGTCTTGTNTGCACGAGTTCCCGCATTTGTGACTTATGGCACGTCTTGTCGAAGCCGTGGTCCGGAAAGTAGACGCCAAACAAGAAGTTCTTCTGATGACAGTTCTCGAGAACCACTCCTCTCAGCCACTGTTTGTCCGCTTTGTGTCCGTCGGGACTGACAAACGCGGCCACGAATGAGCCCTCTTTGAACAGACCCTTTCCCTCCACGTGTTTGGCGTTATATGTCTTTTGTAGCATTTTGTCCATCTGTTGATATCGTTTCGCTCCGTCGGACTCCACTTCTTTCACAACGAATTGGTTGATGTCTTTCAGACCCAATACTTTGATCAGCATTTTTTCAGCCATTATTTTCAATATATTTTATTTTACTTTTTGTGCTGAAGTTTTTAAATTTATTTATATAGTCAAAGATAAAGAGCTGAGTACAATAGCTTTAGTATGTGAGTACAATACCTGATATGAATTGCTAGAGATTATGGTAAAATATCTAATTATTTACAAAATGATAATATCTTTCTAATAAACAGTGAAATTATCAAAATCTAAAACTTGAATCAAACGGAAAGTTTATTTAAGTGGAAACGCCTTAATAGTTGCATCGGTTAAAGATATCACATATAAATTATAATTGATTATCATTTTGTAAATAATTAATGGAAAAATACTTGAATACAAAATCCTATGTTAAAAGTTCACAAAATAGATAACACATGAAAAACAGTGGAATTTTATTATAATTGCATAAACCGTGTAAACGACTGACCCATAGCTTAGATTTAATTACATTAAGAAATAAATTACTTGTAAATAAACAATAAATGGATATATTTAGCACTACAAATGTAAAAATACTTTATATTTAATTTAAATAGATTATATCAAATGTTGCCTAATTATATTGATTTTAATGAATCAAATCATAAGTTTTAAATATTAATAAAATAAGTCAATCATTAAATTTTTATCCACACATTAAGACATAATAACTAAATTAAAACAAATGTGCAAAACTTGTTGCACAATAAAATTGACTCAATGGACACAGAATTACAGAATCCAAGGGTTGGTCAACGGATATAACCTTAAGAATCGGTGACAAGAATTCAATCAATTGTTTTACATTTCAATACCAGAGACCGCTTTAAATGCTTTAAATGTCACAAATTTGAGTCCCTTTTCATATGAAAAAACACTATTGAAAACAAATGAAAATAAGTGCTCATAAAAAGTGCCAAATGTTTATCTCATTGATTATCTGATGAAATGTTTTAATGCATTTCAATGTCAATATAAAAAGCAGACAATCAGTCAGTCATTGAATTGAACCACAATTTGCTGTGAAATTCAGTCAAACACTTCCCACTCTTCGGTCCAAATCTAACCGTAAGTTTGTGTCCAAACCTTAGTATTCAATCCAGAATCTGATCCCAAGACATACCAATGCATAGATATATCCATAACAATGGTTCGCAAGTTCTTCGTCGGAGGGAATTGGAAAATGAATGGCAATAAAGGCCTCAATAAAGAGATCATTCAAACGCTGGTCACCGGACCTCTCGATGCCGGCACCGGTTAGTTGTCCATCATTTCATGTATTTGATCCCAACTAATGTCTAAATATGATGTTTACTCGTATCCGCTCTGAAGAGGTTGTGGTATCGGTTCCCACCATTTACTTGTCTGAAGTGAGGACTGCTTTACCGAAATCGGTGGGCGTTTCGGCACAGAATGCCTACAAGACATCGAAGGGTGCCTTCACTGGAGAGATCAGTCCAGCGATGCTTAAAGACATTGGCATTGATTGGGTTTTGTTGGGACACTCAGAACGTAGAGCTATCTTCGGCGAAACCGATGAAGTAATTCAATTCATAGCTCTCTCTCTCTCTCTTAGAGAGAGAGAGAGAGCTATGAATTGAATTACTTCATCGGTTTCGCCGAAGATAGCTCTACGTTCTGAGTGTCCCAACAAAACCCAATCAATGCCAATGTCTTTAAGCATCGCTGGACTGATCTCTCTCTCTCTCTCTTCAATAATTGAAAAATAATTGTGATTTTTGATGAATGAAATGTACAGTTAATCGGAGAAAAAGTTGGTCACGCGTTGGAGGAGGGCTTGAAAGTGATCGCTTGTATTGGCGAACAGTTGGCCGAAAGAGAGGCCGGAAAGACCACAGATGTTGTGTTTAGACAAACACAAGCCATCGCTGGTTTGTATTTGAAATGCGCACAATTATACAAATACTTATAAATTGCTTAAACGACAGCTAAGGTAAAGGACTGGTCGCGTGTGGTGTTGGCGTACGAACCCGTTTGGGCGATCGGCACCGGGAAGACCGCATCGCCAGCGCAGGCACAGGAAGTGCATAAACAGCTGCGCGAATGGATTAAGACGAACGTATCGGCCGATGTGGCCGACAGTTTGCGAATCATTTACGGCGGATCCGTTACCGGCGGTAACGCCAAAGAGTTGGCTCAGGAGCCCGATGTGGACGGCTTTCTGGTCGGCGGCGCTTCACTCAAACCAGAGTTCGTTCAAATAGTGAACGCAAAAGTTTAAGTCTATATAATATATACACGTTATATAAACGCCAGGAATTGCTTTTATTTTTTATTTAAATATATGTTTTATTAGGAATTTACTGATTATATATACACTAATTATTTAAAAATGCAATTGTTATTTAGTCCATAGGTTTTTGGGTCTTATATATGAAAATGTTTACGATTACTGAATGAATCTAACGGTTAATTATTGTCTCAAATGTTTAACTCATATAATTGTATCGGAATATAGAGCCGATAGTGTATTGAATGTTATGTATTGTTTGGAAAAAAATGTTTAGAAATGTTTTTGTTTCGGAGGAAATATATTTAAAATAAAAATATAGCAACAATTTTATCCACATCTCAGACGTGTTTGAATAAAAACGCTTTCAATTCAAGGACTTTTAGTTATCAAATGGGTTCATGCATTCAATCCGCGATAAACATCACTGTCTCAGACATTTGTAATCAACTAATGAATTAAATATCAATTTAATACAAATTTAATGCACTTTTTTTAGTTAAAATGGATTTTAATGGTTAAATACCATAAATATTTATAGCATTAAGAAAAAAAGTGTTGATATGTTTGACAGGAATTTCTCCATAAGAATTATACAGTGGTATAGACTTTAACATTCAGATTACATGACTTTATTTTTGACGGGATTTTCCTAATACTCCCTAATCTCTATTGTGTGAACAATTGTCATTATTCATAGGAAAATGCAATGAATATAAAGTCTAAAAATAGTTAATTTAATCGATAATCAAATTTAAACCACAAGTTGTTTGTCTTTAACAGTAAAATAACCGATAAAATCAAAATCAATTATTCACTGCACACACCTCTACATCACTCACACCCCTAATGGTCGCAATGCCTGACAAAACAGCTGCAAAAAGCATAGCATTGAACGCAAAACTCACTATTGATTTCAAAACACATTTTAATTAATAAAATAAATTGTTTTAAATGACAATTAAATATAACAATAATAATAATAATAATTGTATTAATCATAACATGTATTAAATTGTTGTTTAACCGATTGATTGACACCAAAAATACACGGATTGCCAGACAATAAGCATTTGAAACAAATCCCTAAAACACTGATCCGTGAAGTCATACAAAACTGATTACAAATTTGACTCAAATTTAAAGGTATTATAAAAATAACATTTAATTTAACGATAAATATATTTATTGTCATTTTAATAGTGATTTAAATTATATGTGTTTATTATCTCATCATTTATTATATCATTAATACCTGTATTTAACCCCAAAAAACAACACAACATATAATCAGTGAAAATAGTTTGCATATCATTAGAAATATTTATTACATTATTATATAATTTAAATTTGAGATAAATTTACTGTTAATTAACTGATAAAATGTATTCAAAATATAGTTAAGTATATAATTATCTGTCACTTAAGTTAGCGGCGAATAAACACTACAAATAAAATATATATTAAAAACAATATACAATTTTTTATGACCAGAATATTCTTGAGTTATAATGTGTTTAATTAATGAATCGCTCAACGAGTTTGTGATTTGAAAGTATTTCACAACACTTTGACGTGAGATGTAATTAATTGTAGTTTTAATATATTGTGTATTCAATAGAAAAGCACTTAAAGTCCTATAATAACACAAAATTGACGTTTAATTTGTTTGATATGAAATACATAAATGTGTTGTCTTTATAGGTCTTTGGGTATTATCTGTTCATATTTGGTGACAAACATCAGTCCCTGTAAGCGAAGAGAGAGATATAGAGAGTTCACGTCTACTGTTTTGGCTCAAGTGATGGCTAATAAAAGTCGATTACATGTAATAAATGTCTGCTTTTTATACATTACTCTTATATGAGTGACAAAAGAAGAAGAAGAATAAGAGCAGCGAAAGGAAAGGAGAAGTTTGTCTTTATTTCTCTTATTGACCATCAATTGTGAGTTTGAAAGGAGTGGGCGTTTCGTACATACTATAAGCCATTGCCATCACAGACCGCAGCCAAACGCAACCACCACTAGAAACCTATTTATTTTTTGTCAAAGCATTTCACATCTCCTTAACCAATATTCAACTACCAGTGCTTTTTAAAGGCACAAAACGCATGGATTGTGACAATTGGACACCAAATCGCTCATCAGTCGCTTCCAACTCATCCTAACATACGGTAAGAGTCATTCACGTCTTAATCGCTTAATATTCGTGTCTACTATTGTTTAATCACATCCCAAATACACCCCCACTCCTCACTCAACCCCTTATTTAATATGTACTATATTTTGTTTATTATTTAATTTGTGCGGTAATTAGCATTTTAATTGCTTTATTAATGTCTGGTAATGATTACGACACAAGACTTTGTGGTGAATAATAACATTCAGACAGAGAAATACAAAAAAAGTTTGTTTTATAAAAACACAGAATCCATACATGAGTTATGGTATGAATAAGTGTAGTGTATATGTAATGAGGGCTAAAATGTCTGAGCGTTTTCCTCCCACCAGTGCTCACATTCATCCTCCAGACGACTCCAACACTTGAATTCCTCCTTCATTTGGCATTACTTTTGGATAAATTGTATACATTTTAGAGCAAAAGTTTTTCTCTTATTTTTCTGCCTTTCATTCCACACATAACTGAATGAATAGTAATTTTTGTTTTATTTTCAAAACAAAATTTTCATTCAATGCTTTTAAAGGTATGATATGTTGTGAATGAATGGAAAAGTTTTTGTCTAAATTCTTGTATTGATATTTCCTATTGAATGTGAATTTTGTATTCAAACAATTGAATACTGTTTTTGGCGAAAATTATCGCTCAATAAATAGAAACACTTATAAGTCTTATAAATCGTTAGCAAATATTTATTGATATATAATATGGATTTGATTTGGTCTCACAGGATATCACTATACATATCATTACAAGACTATAATCTGCGACGACATGAGTAAATTGTCTCCGATTATATCGAGAGAGAGAGAAAGAGAGAGAGAGAG